AGATGTGACCCTAATTCAATGGAAGTTGGCGAAAACTCCACCTTTACCTTCAATATATCAATCACTGATTTACACTTCTCACACCATTTCCCTTTCGATAACCATTCTCAGTGATAGGCGTTTCTTACCCAGCAGACGGCTCCCTTCAAGAATTAAAGCACCCTTCCCGACAAGAAACTTTAATGAGGATGTAACCTGTTACCTGCACAGACCGAGTTTAGAAACAACTTTAACAACTTCCTTGAAATTTCGATGGTGGTGACGACAAGTAGGGCGGAGGTTAGCCTGGATTGCCCAAAAGATGGGGTTGAGAAAAAAAGATTTGACGAACTTGTGCAGAACGGCAGCCGAAAAGGCCGAGAAATTTTTGAGCCCTGTTCAAAAAGGACCTTCTGACCGGTGCGAAGATGGAATCACTGAAAGATTTCAATGGATCTGGGCTAGCGTGTGCCTCTGGGCTACCGACATCGACCCCAAACGCCCCCCCCCCGAGTCACCCCAGCTGGTTGTTTCCCCCAACTGGGCTAACAGCGGACTAACAGCGGACTTGATTCCCGGCTGAATCCGCGGAATCTGGGCCGGAAGCCTCTGGTAAAACTCCTGCCACAGGGATCTCCTAAATCTCGAGAGAATCTGCGTAGGCCTAACCCGAAGTTTTGCGCTCATTCTGCTCCTCTACTTCGCCGGACCACTTCTCAAGATCCTTCTTGTCCATGGCCTCACTGGTAGCGGGCCAGCAAGGCCGCATGAGCTGCACCTCCTAATCTCCAAACATGCCTCGCTAAAGTTTTCGGCGCCCTGATTTCTTTTTAATGTTTCAAATGAAACTTCACTCGTTCGTGCACATTTTTGCTCAAACGGGCGTTCACATTAAGGTAATGTACCTTGCACCTGTGATCTTGGCTCTTTTCGCCTCCAGTCAAGCTATATTCTTTGGAGGCGGAGGTGGAGGTGGACAAAGTAGTTGCTGTTGCAGTTGTGGCACACCACAACCAGCAAGTTGTGGGTGTCAACTTCAGGTATGTGGAAAGGTTTTGAATTATTTTCACGTGGTGTTTTGGGAGGTGAGCTTCTTATACGTGGATCTGGAATTGTAAGTCCTAAGGGATGGATGGTGGGGAGTGGGCGGGGGAGGGGGGAGAGGAGTAAAAGAAAACGGGCGATGTGCGCAAGTCGTTTCCCATTGGAAGGAGCACTAGTAACGGTTTTACAGGGCCCAACAGCCTCGCAAAACCGCCTTGAACTTTTGGTGCTCCTCCAGATGATAGCCATAAAGAGGTGGTGAGGTAGAGTGCGGCGTAAGCGCTGCCTAGCCCGGCCGCCGTTCAAAAGTGAAGGAGTGATTAAGGGGCCCAATAAGTCATCCACTACCTTCATGTGAAAAACAACAAGCAAATCGATAAAGTTTGAATTTATAAAGGCAGTGGGCACACCAGCAGGGGCCAGGCGGTTGCTGCCAGCATTATTGCAAGGGCAGAGTAAGGTGTGGCCAAACGACTCAACGCAGCCCTCCACCAATGCCACAGGCAGCAACCGTCCGCCCCCTGACACCGTGCCCACTGTTTTCAATTATCAATCGTTTTCAGTGTCCTCCTCCAGCCCCATGCCCAGCGTGTGTTCAACAAGTCTGTCCACCTCCACCGGTTGCATACTGTCCTCAAGTGCAACCGGTCTATGTTGCGGCGTGTACAGGAAGCTCATGTGCTCAAGCATCGCCCTGCACTGGAAGTGATTGTGTTCAAGCATTACCCTGCACCGGAAGTGGATGTGGAGGAGGCGGTGGCGAATGCACCGGTAGTGGATGTGGAGGAGGTGGTGGTGGATGCACTGGAAGTGGATGTGGCGGAGGAGGCGGTGGAGGATGCTCTGGCAGCGGATGTGGAGGAGGAGGCGGTGGCGGATGTCGTGGAAGTGGTTGCGGAGGAGGTGAGTGACTCGATTTTTCATCAAATTCCCCCTTACATTAGTATAGTATGCTGTTTGTTCATAATATTTTTTATGCATAGTGAGCGCGAAGTTCGGCGACGGGAGGGAGAGGGGGAGCGTTTCGGACTTTCAAAGCGCCACTAGTTCCGGTTTTCAAGCGTCACTTTGGCGAAACTTGTAAGCTCTTGTGAAGCTGGAGCAAGTTCGTCGAGCCACCATGGTAAAACCTGTCAACTCTTGTGAACTCATGAAATAACTCTCTAGATGACTCGTCAC